TGCTTATCTTTTTTCATCAATCCTCACCAAAGAATTCACAACAACAGGAACCTTGTGCTGTGTTACAGCCGTTCTCATCCAGGGGTTCCATGAGAAAATTAAGCCTAATGCCCCAAGGTATCTATGTATGTAATGAACTACCTTCTCTCTTATATACCTAGAATTCTTCTTGGGAAAATGGAGGAAATAGTCAAGACAAATCACCTTCTGTGCTGTGGTTCAGGTAAAGAACCCTGACTAAGAAAGGCAATGTGGTAGAGTAGTCCTCAAAAATTTTTGAATGAATAAATGAACATCACTGACCAACATGGGGATCAGGAATCACAGGTTAATTCGACCATTCGGATTTCAGCATGGATCCTAGACCTATTGAACCAGAACTGACATAGAGAGTAAGGAACATGTGTACTCTGAAAAACTTTTTTAGGGGATTTTAATAAGAGCAATCACTCTTCCGCACTCCTTCCAATTTTTCCTCCCTCTCTATCCTTGTCTGGATGACCTTTAGGGTTCGTTCCATCTGCAACAATCTGTGAGGTGTCTAAATGAATGACTGAAAGCATAATGTAAGAGACTGTTGTATAGGACTTTTGCCAGAGTAGTAGCAGTAATGGCCATGAGTTAAAGGGGCATTAACGGAAATTTCAGGAACACTTCATTCATCTGTGGGTGGGCAGATGTCTGGGATGTTAGGCACACATGAGATAATACCTAAATAAAAGGGAAGTTAGAGGGAGCTAATAATAAAACAGTATGATTCTAGAGAATTTCTATAGAGATCAGAAGTTAGGGTGAGGAGGTGAAGTAGAGGACAAGTTCTATGTTGTGTGGCATAGGACACATGTGTTGTATGTAAGCTTGGTTTGGATCATTGGGATGAAGTGTGATAACAGTGACTGTCCTATGATTTTAGAGTTTGAATGTATTAGGAAGGGAATTCTAGTGTAATCTTACAGGCCAAACAAAGGACAAAGGAAGGGAAGGAACTAACCACTTTCCTCTATGTGTTCAAACACAAAATCTTTAACAAATACTGCGCTAGATTCTAGGAATATAATTGTGAACAAGACCATCTTGGTCACTGTACATACAGGGCTTGCGTAGAGCCTAATGAGGAAGACAAATAATATGCAATTACAACAAAGGACATAAGCATTGTGCCAGGGGATCTAGAGGTTGCTATGGGGCATGTGGCTGCCTGACCCATGTTCATGCTTGCATACGTGCGTGTATGTTGGCAGGAAGACTTTTCCAGAGCCTGAAGGATGTGTGAAAGTTATCCAGGTTGGGGGGAGGGTAGACAGGATGGGTTTGGAGAAAAGAGAGGCTACAGCAGAAGGTGGTGAGAGGTAGCATGGGCCAACAAAGAAACTGAAAGTAGTTCAGTCTTGTGTGTGTATGTTTCAGAGGATGAGACCCTGTTGGAGAGAACTGATGAAATGAGTTGAAGAGTAAGAAGAGACTAAATAACATATGACTTCGGAAAGATCTGTTGAGGATTATGGCCTGTGATGGTTAAGGTTGTGTGTAAACTTGGCTGGGCCATGATCCTCAGTGGTTTGGCAGTTATGATGTAGTTTGGCTTTTTAATGATGTAATCATCTCCATGAGATCTCACAATTGTGAGGATGGTGCAGGACCAGGCAGTGTTTTGTTCTGTTGTACATAGGGTCACTATAAGTCGGAACCAACTCGATGGCACCTAATAGCAACAGCAAGATCTGATATAAGGTGATCACCTCCATGATGAGATCTATTGTGAGCAGCCAATCAGCTGAAAGGGGGTTTCTTCGAGGGTGTGGTCTGCATCCAATATAGGTGGACTTTCTGGCAAGGCTCACTGGCTTTTGCTTGCTC